CGCACGCGCGCTCCTTCCGCACTCGTCTCCCGACTTCGTGCACCGACTGTGACTCTGAGAAACGGAGCCTCTGCTGGGTGTTAAGAAGAGCTCGTTCACACGGGCGCCCTGCTCTCCAGAACTGGCTGTGAGCCTCGTGGGCCACGCCACACCGGGACGGGGAGCGAAACACGAACCTGCGGGCCCGAGCTGAGAACTGGGGCATCCTCAGCACCCCGCACGCTTTATTAAGGGGACACCACTGGCCCCACTGCCCCTGCAAGAGGAGTCACTGTGTGCCGCCTTCGCTCAGTCATCGCGCATGAACAGCCCTCCGTCTGCGGGCTCTGAGCGTCGCGGCTGTGACAGCCCCGCTTGGCAGGGGAGTCCGCAGACTGCAGCGCTCAGCCCACTACCCCTCGGCTCGGCCAAATGTTTCTGCAGCTGCCCTTTTGTCCCCCTCCTTAAGTAAACAAAGGATAGATACAAATTAATGACCTGAATTTACAGCAAAACCCACAGCCATCTGAGAGCAAATTGTCTCCTCGGAGCAGATGTTAAGTGACATAGCTATGCGAACAATACCGGAGTACATTAAAAGATAATTATACTGTTCCAGCTCCTAGCGAGCCGAGAACCCGTGCGACTTTTCTCACACCGGCCGCCGGGCTGAGCTCTTGTCTCGGATGTTAAGTAGGTGCTACCTCTTGAGCGCTCCCGTTAATGACAACTCGGAGGTCTTAAAACGCAATTGCGCCACACAATTTCCCGATATTCAAACAGTATGAAGTGGGCTCCAGGAGTCTAACCAGTAAGAAAAAAAACACTCTACAAGGAAAACCTATATAACAGGGGAAAACAACTTTATTTTCTTTTAAACTCGTATTTCTAATATATTCTAAAAACATTTTTTATATGGAAAGGCCCCGTTATTAGAATTATTTTAGAACTGCTCCACGGATGTTGTGATGACTAAAAGTGACGGTATCGGCTCTTCCCGAAGCCTGCGGCCCGGAGTCTTCCTCACCCAACCGCGGGGCGGCTCCGCGCGAGGGGCCGGCTCGCGCCTCGGCTGCCCCCCGAGCCCCGGCGCGCGCACTGCCCGCAGCGGCCCCCGGCTACTGGCGCGGGGAAGGCCAGCGCCAGTAGAGTTGGTGAAGTGGGGTGGCGGATGCGCTTTTCGTTTTCTTTTTTTTTATTTCGCGGTGCGAAGACCTTGCAGTTACAAAGGAAGACTCGCCCACTTCGAGGCGGCCGGCTTCTCCTAGGCGAGAGGTGCGGACAGCAGCGAGACCTGGGCCCAGCTACAGGAGAAGTTTGACATCACCTTCCCCGGAGGCCAGCCCTCTGCGAGCCGTGGGGCCCCTTCCGCCGGCCAGACCTCCCAGAGGCAGAAAGATTGTCCCCCCAGAGCTGCGCTTTCAGTACGGGTGTACCGTCTGGTTTTACTGTTTTAAGTTGTGCATTTGTGTGAACCAGCTTATGAGAGGCACGGGCAGTGATTTGTTACTTTTAGACGTCAACAACACGGCTAAGGAGACACTGCCGGACCGTGAGCTCAGGCCCGCGGAGCGGAGCCGTCTACACGCCGGGCTGGCGTCACCCAGAGCCGGGATGGGAGTGCGCCACTGTCCGGAGGCACTCAGGACCGACATTACTGAAGAATGTCCTTCCAGGCAGCGGTAAAGGTCTGCTGCTGCTGCACCTGCGTAGTAAAACGTTAATTGGATCAGGAAAGCAAAGTAAAACCTTTTTTTTGTTAAAGGCTTGCGGAAGCACAGGAAACGGTGCTGTACTCTTGAGGCAGGTATGGCACTCAAGACTGTTCCCATAAACACACCCAGCCGCACAAAGTGGGTGCAAATGCAAACATCCACATTCATGAATAAATCATGAAAGATCCGAGTTAAAGACCCCTACAGCGCAGAGGTGTATAAAGGCGAGACAGGCCGTGCTAGAGAACGAACCTGTAAACAGTGGAGGGAGATCCCCACAGTAGGGAAAATGGAGCATCTTAAAGCATTGCTATTTGAGATGGGTGCACAGGCAATTAAAGTGCTGTAACTAGGTTTTGCAAACCAGATGGTTTTTTCGTGCCACATCTACAGCGTCTCTGTGATTAAGATGGGCGATCTTAAAAATATCCCAACAGGTTATCAGCAACTTGCGAAATCCTTCTAATGCAATAATTGCCGCACTGAAGGCACTAGTCCAGAGTGTTTCTGGAGCCCTGCAGTGTATTTCATCGTGTGCTCCTGTTCCAAGCCTTCCCCAGACTCTCGGATTAGCAGCAGGAGAGGCCCGTGCAAGACTACCAACACCACAGATGACAACAAAAGGACCCTACACCCGATTTAAAGAAAACAATTCTACTCGAGTGCAGAAAGTCATTTCTGTTTGCAGATAAAAGTGAAAACAGACATGAGGAGGTGAAGTACAGGGATAATTTTGGGGATTGAAGCATTTGAAAATTCCACTACATTGACAGATGGTATTCACCTTTTTGAAGAAAACAGCGTACGTTTAACATGATTAATTCTGTCCATGCTACAAATGACACCAATACCAGGACAGATCGAAACCCAGCCTTCTCACCTGTGACTATATGAAAATCCACAAAAGATGAGGCAACAGAACTTTTGGGAACTTTGACCTTAGGTGCCATATTGCTAAACAAAATTCAATAGACCAATCAGTGATTAGTCAATATTCCAACTGCATTTTCAATGAACAGAAATGAAAATCAACTGGACTTTAAACAACAGGCTCTTAAGGTTCATATAATTTATTGCAATTAGCACACAATTTAAAAATTTCACCAACAGCACACCAAAAAAGTACAAAACTAAACAGCCTTATAATTTACTCCCCTTGAGAAAATAAAACATACTATGATTGTCAAAGCTAAATGTCAGTCTAAATAAAAAAGTCAAAAAGAAACTTACTTTCACAGGGATTACCAATTAAAAGCAAATATTTTTTTTAAATCTGTTTCTTCCTCAGACAGCGATTGTCCTTTTCAACAGATTTCTTTCCTTCCAGTTTAATTCCTCTCCTGTCCTTACCCAGACCCCAGGTTCTTAGCAGGTTATTTCCAGTTTTCAAGTAACCAAAGATAAATGGAGATGTTTAACAGGTCATCTTTTCACAGCTTTTTTTTTGTTGTTTTCTTAAAAAAAAAACCAAACTGATACAGTCCAGCAACACACAATTTCGGCTTTCCAATAATAACTTTCTGCACGAAAATAAGCGGTTTTTACAGTAGTTTAAGGCGGTCAAATACATCTGAAAAATAACATGTAAAAAAAAAATACAATAAAATAAAAATAAAAAAACAACCACAGCAAGTATTTGCAGTAATATTCCCGGAACATGTATTTGTGAGTGCAAAAAAGGAGAATGACAAGCACTGTGCAAAACACCCATCGCCCCGAGTCGGCAATGCAGCTCGTGCTGCTGGGGGAACGCGCCCTGCGCCCCCTCTCTCGCGCTGGAACACACTCTCAGAACAGCGGGAGGGCAGAAGAAGAGAAACTAAAAGCCAACCGGCGCGTTAGGTAGGGGCACTGTGATGATGTCCCAGCTCAGCAACAGTTAAAGGATTCCATAAGGGGAACAATGAGAACACTGAAGGCTACATGCACAGAGCATAACACTCCCAAGTGTTACTGGTACTCCTTCTTCAAAAAGGAGGAGAATACTCCTTCAAGTAAAAACAACATTTCTGTAAATGGGCAATTCCATTTCATATTTTCTAAATGTTAAAGATTCTTCTTCTGCAGGGCTGATAACAAACAGTTTTTGTCTTCTGTAGCTGAGTGCTAATCGTGTCTCTCCTTACTGATTACTGTAGCTGGGCTTTAATGGCATGAATTAAACCAAACACTGTCCAGGAAGCATACCTTTAACTGTTAAGGTATTTCACCCAATTCTTACAGGTCCCTGTGTGTCTGTACACACAGGTAAAGGAAGGACTGACAGACTTATGCTCTATAAAAGCAGTCTGTCGGAGTCTGGCCAGGCTGGGAAGGTAGTGCTAATTCTCCAGACTGTTCAGGTACTAGCAGGACAAAAAAGAAAATCCTCCAGACCCTCAGAGTTTCAAGTTTGTTGCAAGTGCCAAAAGAAAAATAATAAATAAATTACTTCAAATAAAAAAAAAATGCAAAGCGGCTGCCACCCGATCAATTCGTCGTTCAAACTCCGACCTCATCTGCATATTTTAGTTGATAATTGGAACTGACAAAAGCTGGCAGGCAATTTAAGGAGGAAAAAAAAAATAACAACAAAAACATTTTCAACCCGTTATCGTGATAGAGAGACAGCAGCTGCAAGCCCAAACACATCACAGACATGCAGCTCAGTGCAGGAGGGCCCTGCGGTGCACAGCTACGGCCCAGCACGCCCTCCGGAGGCCAGGACAATAATGACGGTGGATTCCTGCGTTTGCTTTCTGTCCAACAGAAGCTAGAACCGGTACACTTTATACAGACCGAAATATCAAATCAGTGCACTTATACATGTTCTTCACAGCCCCGCACAAAATGTCAAAGGAGCTTCTAATTACATTGTAAAAAGAAAAAAAAAACCCGAAATTTAGGAATTAAATGATTGAAGCGGTAAATTTAAAACACACTCTCCAAGGTAATAATGTAAAACAACGAAAAAAGACCTCTAAAAAAAATCATGCATTTTCCATAACTGTAATATTTACTTTTTTCCAACAGACTGAGCTAAAAGTTTTAGCACAGTCTGTTATTTGATCAATTACAGTGTACAGTAACAGCAATTCACATTTTAAATATACAATTTGAACTTCATGCAATGACAGATCCCATTTTCAGACAGATGTCGTCACTCACTTCTACAAAGCCAACTTAAGATTATGGTCATTTGAAGAGGGATATGTTTAATAAGTGTGCGTCTACCCATTTGTATAAAAATGTATAACTGTAATGGTACGAATTAAAAAAAGGCTTTCAGGTCATTTGAAAAAGGATACCACCCATTGCATGAAAGTTTCCTTTTGTCCATCATCAGTCAGGTTTCCCATCACAAGTAAAAAATGTACAAAAGCTGAAGTTCTGAAAGCTTGTAATTTATAATAACATGTTTCCTTCGAGGGCTTAACATGTAAAATACAGTAGAATTAAGTTTCTCTTATTAAAATCCAGTAGTGCACTACGCGTGTGTACACACGCGTGTATATATATATACAGAATGTTCACAGTACCTGTTTAGTGTATCGTCACTGTTTTCTTCACTATTTTTACCACCAGCTTCATGAGGTGTATACATTTGCAGCTTGCAAATAAAATGCCTTGTGGGCACTCCCCACCCCGGCAAGGGCTCGGGATCTGCGTGCAGTCGAGCGAGCCTCGAGAGGAGACGGCAAAGAATCGGGAACTTAAAGACCATGTAAATGTTTGCGTTCACACCGATACGCACTGAAAGATAAAAAAAAAACGTTGCTTGTCAAATAAACTTCTGAGAGTGTACCCTGCCACGTGGAGGGAATAAATAATAGTTTTAATAAATTCAGCAGTAACATTTTTATTTGCTACTAAAGTGCAGTTTAGCAAGGTTGCAACTGAAGTACAAGAAACGTGACTGATTTGAGACCCCCCCTCCCCCCCCGCCCCATCCCTTACCTCTGCCCCACAGCGCTCTAACTCCCAGTGCTCCCAGTGCTCCAGGGCTCACTTCCAGAGTTCCTGAGAGCTGTCCTCCAAGGCCCAGTCCCTGACGTTGGGCAGGCTGAGGGCCTCGCTCTTGACGGAGAGCGAGTTGACCAGCTCGCAGTGGAACTTGCGGATGTGCCGGTACAGGTCCCCCGACTGCGTGAAGCGCCGCTCGCACCACTTGCAGGCGTGCGGCTTCTCGCGGGTGTGCACCACCGCGTGCCGGCTCAGGTTGTGCGAGTACTGGAAGCTCTTGCCGCACTGGGCGCAGGTGTAGGGCTTCTCCCCGGAGTGAGTCCGCTCGTGGCGCTTCAGCGTGTACATGCAGGAGAAAGTCTTGCCGCAGATGGAGCAGGTGGGCACGTTGACGTCGCTGGCCGGCTTGGCGCGGACGCCCTCCTGCTCGCGGAAGTGCGTGCTGAGGTGGATCTGCAGGATGTGGGGGCTGGGGAAGACCTTGTTGCACAGCGGGCACATGAAGATCTGGCTGTGGGGCCCGCCGAGCATGTTGGAGACGTAGGGCAGCAGCGTGCTGTCGATGCTGGCCGCCTCGGCCGGCGCGCGCTCGCTCTCGGGGCTCAGCATCTCGTCGTCCTCGCTGGCCTTGTCGTCGCGGTCCAGCTCGCCGGGCAGGGCGGAGAGGTGAGCGTCGTACGCCAGCCGGCCGTGGGGGTTGTGGCCGTGGGTGGCGACCCCGCCGTTGGCGCTGGGGGCCTCCTTGGGGCCGCCGCCGCCGCCGTGCTCCATGTCGTAGTCGCCGCTGGCCAGGTCGTCCTCGTCGGATGCCGCCTCCTTCTCCACCTTCACCTGCACCTGCGCCAGGCTGCCCTGCAGGCTGTCGGGGGCCACCGCGCCGCAGAAGTAGGGGTTGCCCCCGGGGACGGCCTCGCCGGCGCCCCCCGCCAGGCCGGACTTCACGGACAGGTCCAGCACGCAGTCCGCGTCGGCCGACACCCTCCTGGAGGGGGCCGACCTCCGGGAGAGGGACCCCGAGGAGCTGCAGGGGCTGCCCGCCGTCTCCCTCTTGCCGGCCGCCGCCGCCGCCGCCTCGCCGCCCGCCGTGGGGGCGCCGGCCGGGTCGGAGGGCAGCCTCATCCACATGTTGCCCGGCTCGGGCGGCGAGTCCCTCTTGTTGCCCTCCGAGTCCTCGTCGTCGCTGGGCAGCAGGTCGCCGCTGGCCGGGTGGCCCGTGCTGCCCTCGGAGAAGCTCTCCACCTTGTCGGAGCAGCTGGACGCGTCCTCCTCCCGCTTGGTGCTGTCCGCCTCGGCCGTGGCCTTCTCCTTCAGCTTCTTCTTGCACACCTTGACGATGTCGTACATGTGCAGGTAGCTGGCGGCGGCCAGCACGTCCTCGATGGGGAGGGCTTTGAACTGAAGCTTCCCCTCGTACATGAACTCGAGCAGGAGAGCGAAAGCAGGGGCTGTAACAATGTCGCTGTTCAGATGAACAATGTCCCTTTTGTCCAGCTGGTCCTTGTAAAAGAGGTGGAAGTACATGCTGCACGAGGCCAGCACGGCGCGATGGGCTCGAAACTGGGCATCGCCGACCAGCACTGTCGAATCACAAAGGAAGCCCTGATGTCTCTGCTCACTCAGACACTGTAGTAAATGTCTGCTGTGGTCTGGAAACTCCATGTTGTCTTCATAACCTGGAACAAACAGCAGATGTTAGTGCCCCCTTAGAACAACAATTGTTTTGTTCGAGCCTTTACGTAACTTTCCTCTTTCCCACAATCGCTCAGCTCTTTTCTCCCCACAGTGTCAACGGACGCGAAGAAACAGCGGACGAATACCAGGTTTTCGATTTTCTTTGCCCCCTAGGAAACAAGTGGATGTTTTATTGTGGCGAAACTGCCATGTAACGCAAAAAGTGCGAGAGCCTTTCTTTTCCGTACGAATGAGGAATCCAACATTTCACAAACCATTTCATTATATTATTTTAAAGTCGGTCCTGCCAAACCAGGTTGGTTCCCTTAACAACAAGAAGAAAAAAACGACTGGTGCAATTCTGTTATTTAACCAGCTTTAAGGAGGTCATTTCAGATTTGTACTGTAGCTCTTCTACAATGTTCAACTGTAATTTTTAAAGATGGAGTTAAACCGTCAGAAAATGAAGTTGCCCTTAAGATTTTGTTTTTCAGTATTACAAATATATTACACAGACTTTAAAAATGACTACATGACCAGTGACTGATTCCAAGCCTAAAACACAAAGCTTCTGTAGATCAGTCACACAGACAGATGCGTAACTACAGGACCGTGCAGCTCGGATACAGTTCCCCTGATTTCTCTCTGGGCAAGGACTGGGTTTATTTTTATTCTAACCTGCTCTGGGTTTTAGGTAAGAGGCTTTTAGCTCCACAAACCAAGCAAACCCTGTCTTTGTGCAACACTTAATACAGAAAGTATGCAGTTGTTCAAAAGATGCAAATTTGAATCAGAACATACTTTACATGCACCTGACCATGAAAAACATTTTCTTTTTATATCCTTTTCCAAATTTAAGGAAAAAAAAAAGACTCACACTGGGTAAATCACAGAATCAAAAGTCCAATTTCAAATAATTTTCCAAAAGCTTGCTCATATCTGTGCCCCAGCAGAAAGCACTCTTAGAAAACAACACCACCTGTTAACTATATGGACTCTTCTCAGTGAAACAGAAAAATAAAAACCAAATTAGTATTTATTCTTATTCCAGGTTTGGTCATTTAACTATATATCACCTCATTTTATGGAGCAAGGCATTTCTTCCACTTTGTAAGAAAAGCCTGCAATTTGATTTTTTTTCCCCACCTCTTTCGAGAAACTGCACATCTTTCCTCAAAGAGGAAACCCAGAAGATTTACAATACAATCACTTTAAGTGCCCTGTAGTCTACATCAATCCTAATCCTTAAGATGGCTAAAAATAAAGATTGCAGGACAGCTCACAAGGTAGCAGCGATCAAATTAGGAGGCTGAAAGGACAGAGAGGGACGAAGAAGGAAGCTTATAAACATCTGATCCAGCTGACTGTGGCCATATGGCAGCTGCTGCCCAGATAAAGAGATTAGGACTAGGAGGAGTGCGATTACAGCTGTCTGGCCAATTCAGGCAGCTCAAATCTGCAAGTCCTAAATTAGTCACTATGACAAAAAAAGGAAAGAAATGCTTTCAAATAATTACCCTGCTATTTTAGATGGGTAAAATGAAAAGGAAAAAAAAAACCTGTCTACACAGCCTGGCATGGTTTCTTTTGAAGTCACGACTTTTTCCTCTGTGCTTTACATACTCTCCCCCTTTTGAGGGCTATCGTTATTTTTTTTAGAAAAAAAAAAGAGAGAATAAAGTTGTTTCGTTCCCTAGCTGGAATTCTTCCTGCCGATTTTTTCTCTCCCCTAAAACACACAGTGGCATCAACGAATACATCAGCTGCAATAAAACAAAAATCTCTTGTGTACAAGACACAAACATCAACAGCCTGTTTTACAACAAAAGGAAGGTAAAGGCACTGTGGGCACTCAAATACCACAACTGCCGTCAGGAATTGAATTCCGGATGCACTGTGCGAAAAGCGAAAGAAAAAAAAACTTTCCCATTCATCTCCACCTCCCTACCAAGTTGAGTCCCGAAAAGCAAACAATCGAGCACGCTGGAACAATCACAGAGCCAGCGTGCCCGCGGACATCAGCCCTGACAGCCCCGAGAGCCCTCCCTACCGTACCTGCTGCAGGCAGCACCAACCGGACCGAGCCCCGGCTGCAGCTCCTCCGCCGAGCCGAGAGACAGATGCCGAGTGGAGAGGACGCTGGAAGCGAACGAGATACCTTCTCCGCACGCAGAGCCGCACACACTAACTCCCTGCCTGTGTGCTAGAATAAAAGGCGGGGGGATGGCAGTCTGTCAGCTGCTCTGACATCATGTTCAGATGGAAATGCTACCTCCAGCTGTGCTCCTTTTAATGCCATATGTTACTCCTCTACACTCTTGCCACCAGCCTCTTCTTTACACAACTTTTTTTTCCTCCCTTTCTTTAAAAGAAATTGTACATCGAATTGTTTGGGGAGAACTGGTCAACCCCCCCCATTGCAAATACACTTCAAAACACACACACACACCCCTCCAATCTGCACGGAAAGACAACTTTACCAAACAGGTCTGACACTTTTTTTCTAGCCTGGTTTACTGCATTACTGGAGGGATGCATTTAAAATCCCTCCAGTTTTTTGGAGTGTGCATTCCTCTCCCCAACCCCCCCCCCCCGGCCAGTAACCCTCCACAGAGCCCCACTCCGCAGATTTGCAACTGACAGTTCTGCAGCTGATATTGTTTTCGACTTCTTTACGGTTCAGTGCCCTCGCCAGAGCCGCCATTCACTGGATAACTGATTAAAAAAAAATAAGAAAAAGAAGACAGGGAAAGACTCCCCCCCCCCAAAAAAAATAAATAAAATAAAATACGCAAGCCAGAAGAGTTTTGACCAAGTTTCGTTTTGTTGTTGTTGTGTTAAGGCTGCCCTGCTGCAGCGGCGCGCCTGAAAGTATCCGGCTCCCCCTCGCGGGTGACGATCTCGCGGTTCGGTTCCTGTTCGGCTGCGGCCGCCGACACCTCGAGTTTCACTCGGCGCAAACCCCACACGGGAGCTCACCGGAGCCGGGGCGACGGGAGGGGGGTCTGTGTTCTGCGGCGGAACCTCAGACCGGTGCGTGTGGCCCGACCCGACCCGTCCGGTCCGGTAACACCGCACGACACCAACACCACACGCGACTCGGCACCTGTCGCCGGCCGCCACCGAGCACAGACTAATGGCCAATATCGCCCACATTCCTCTCATTTCTCTTCACATCCGAGCAGTCAGAAGTTGCACCGCTGAATCACCTGTAAACCCGCTCCACCCCGGGGTCCCGTGTGGGCACATTTGCCCAACACAGGGGGGTAAATTCGGAGCTTCTGGCCCGGGTGTGGGGGTGAGGGCTCGGCAATTCCTCAGGACATCGCCAAGAGCCGCGGCCGGCTCCTACAAGCCCGCCGGAGGTCACGGAGCTCCCCTGCCCGGGCTGCAGGCGACCTCACCGCCCGGCACAGCGCCGGCGGCCCCCGGCGACACCGCCTGCGGGGCTCCCGGGTCTCGCGGAGGGGCGACGAGAGAGCGCCGGGGCAAACAAGGAAACACGTGTGTCCTTGTGGCCCCTGAGTGTCACTTTCCTCCCCGGGATCGAGGCTTTCTTTGCTCCTTGATCAGAGCAGAAGCCTCCTCTCACGCGTGACAGATGACCGACCCTTGCAGCAGCAGCAGCAGCAACAACAAAAAGGAAACCCGCACAAGAAGCAACAGTTTCACAGCGAACTTCTCTCCAAACTTCCCGGGACGCCCTGGGCAGGGCGCTCTGTCCCCCAGCTCCAGCCCCGCGCTGAGCGGCGCCCCGGGCGCGGAGGCAGCAGCGTGGGGGGACCCAGGAGCCACAGCCAGCCCACTGGCGCACACGGTCACGCCACGCCACGCCACGACCGGTAGCCGAGGCACCGGCGCTGCCCGACCGCTGCCCGCCGGGCTGCAGGCCCCGCCAGCGCTGTCTCCCGCAGCGGCGAGCCCCGCAACTCCCCGGGCTGCCCCTGGTAGCGGCGCCCCAGGAAGATCACTACTTTTCCGTCTCCTTGCAGCCTGCCCCCCCCGCCGCCCGCCCGCTCGCTCGCTCGCCGCTTCCTCGCTCGGCTCCCCTCGCCCCCCTCCCGGCCCGAAACACCCCGGCGGCTCGGCGTACTCACAGGCAGCGGTGCCCCGCGTCGCCCTCCCCTCCCTGCTCGCCGAGGAAAAAAACGACCACAACAAAAAGAGCTACCGCGACTTTCCGCTGCTCCCCATAACAACCTGCAGAGGCAGAAAAGACAGAGCGGGGACCCGACGAGCTGCGGCAGCCAGATGTTTCCGAGCTGTTGCTACTCAACTCTCCGGCGGAGGGGGACGCGCCGTGACGGGCGGCCGCGGCGGCCAATGGCGGCGGCG